GTGGCCTCTTCATAGGTCCAGCCCAGAGGTCCAGCACATATGTAAATCACCTCCCCATTTTGTGTGCTTTTTAGAGTTCAGAATTGTTTACCAGCTTGGAAACTATTGCCCAGAATTATAAATTTTGCATATTTCTAAAAGGGTCTCCCATTCTTTATTATCTCTGATGTTTTGCAGCCCCCCATCTTGGCATCTTAGCCTGTCTTCGGTTTTCTATGTCAGGGTCTCCCATTCTTTATTATCTCTGATGTTTTGCAGCCCCCCATCTTGGCATCTTAGCCTGTCTTCCTCTCCTCTTCTCAGGAAGCCATTTCTCCCTTCTGCCTTTCCAGAAGAAGGAAGTTTGAATTCTGCTGTGTCATTTGTCCTTCTTCAGCATATCCCTGAAGCATTGATTGTGAGCACCTTTATCTTGCACAGTGCACAGTGTACATTCAGACAGTTCCTTCATGTCTGTAATACCACCCTTCCTTGTCTATCCCACATTCTCCCACATTTCTTACTCTGTTCTTGCATTTCAAATAAAGGCATAATGTGATTGATGATGATTGCCTCAGATTACTACGATTACTGCCCCTGCCTTAGTTAACTTATCAACAAGCTATTTAATATGGTTTTACCTTTGCATAAATGAATGTATGATTATAAGACAGGCAACAGTATAGGATGTGAATATAGGAATCTTTCAAATTAGTATTAACAGGTGAAAGATTCAGTGGCTTCTGTGAATGTGCACATTGTGCCCATTAAATAAACCAGGTAGCACATAATCTTAGTCCTGAATACTATGTATAAAAAATGAAATGAGTCTGAGACGTGGGACTTTGCACCATCTCTTTTTTCCTTCTCTCTTAATTTCACTTTCTTAAAGTTTCCCTCTTGCATAAAATCTAGAGATTGTGATTTAATTCATTATACACAACAGATGGACTAGCAATGCTTTCTGGCCTCAGATGCCCCACCTCACAAAACTGAGGCACCACAAGGATCTTCTCCTGGTAGGAACTCCTTGAATAGGCTAATTCAGATTGGAGTAGGTGGTCCTGCAGTTACCTTAGATTTCTTTATTTCGATTTCAAATTTGTTTGTTTTCTTTATGCAGATGCTGAGTAAGAATCTGAGAGGAGAAATGACTGTTGTGCCCATTGGAACCCAGATAACTCTCAAAGATTGCAAGTTTATACAAGAGATTGCAAAATATCTGTTGATCAGCTGCAAAGAGGTACTTGTTCAAACTGCACTTGTTAAAGCAAAGAGGACATTGCAGAAGAGTTTACCCAACTGCAAAGTAGATGCCATGGTGAAAAGATTCCCTTCCCTATTACTGCTTTCTTGAAGAGATTTTGTGGCAGCATGGAAGGAAGGTTCGCAGTGGAGGAAAGGAAAGAGAAGCCATGCTGCATGGGCAAAAGTCTATTTGGCAACAATAACAATAATAATATTTTTATTTATTATGCACTTTTACCAAGGCACAGTATAAATTTAAAAAAGTAAGTGCAACCAGTCCAATAAGATTAGCTTGGAATTTAGCATCAGTACAGTAAAGAAATATTAACACAAAACGATAAACACAACAACAGTAGATTAAAAACAGTGCCATAGAATAAGACTGAGTGTGTGTACATCCATAATAATTTTTAAAAGGTACTACTCTAGAACTATCAGATAAATAAGAGCAGGAACAACCAAACTAACCCACTAATAAAATAATATGATATTTAAATCCATTTTAAGGGGTATCTGATTTCCACAGCAATGAAGGGGGGAAGGAAGTGGGGTCCTGAGTCATGGGATCAGATTCCTAAAGTCCAGAATGTCAGCCTTCACCCCTGAAGCAAGAAACCAAAATAAGACTCTGCTCTTTAGACCATAATGAACAAACAAGATTGTAGGAAGAAATAAAAGCAGACAGATACTGGGGAGTTTGTGACTGGAGGGTCTAAATATAAGCACTATTAATTTAAACTAGAGACTGGTTTGACTTGGGAGGCAGTGAATAGCCCTGTATTGTACTAAGATGAGAGTATAATGTGAAAGGTCCAGAATAAACTCAAATGGCACTGTTCTGCTCTATGAACAATAAGACATTTCAGTGTGGTTGACAACACATCATCATCAAGAGGCATAAAAGACTGATAAAGTTCAGTATCAGTAAACATTGATATTGGGAACTATGATTCATAATCAGGGCACCCAAAGGGAAAGGTAAATAGAATAGCACCCACGTCTGATCCCTGAGGGATGCACCCTTCCCAGGACTTTAATCCACCATCAATACTGTTAAAGAACAAGAAAACAGAAAAGTTTCAAACCAATCAAGTGCATTGCCAATGATGCCCAAGGACTGTATCCTAGACAATATCCAATGGTCAAGTGTGTCAAATGAGACTGTCAGGTCCAAAAGGAGCAGGCCCAATACAACTTTGGAACCCAGCAAGTAGGACAAAAGATATTTCCATCTGTACCAGACCAAAAGTCTATGTAGTCTACTGATCTCTTCCTACATAGGTCAACCAGATGTTGAATAGAAATCCATACCTATGTATACGTGCAATACATCCCCTCTTGTTTGTGCTCACCAGCCACTGCCTCCAACACTAGAAGAGATGGTCATCATGTTTTCTTCCAGTCAATTATATATTCAGAACATTAGGAAAATCTGCACGATCGGTTTCCTTTGTATAGCCAAATACTAAATTGCATTAGCTATTCCAGGCTCTTTAATTCAAGTTTTTTTATTTAATTTCATTTTTTCTAACTCTTCTTTTTCCTTAAAGATTAAAGAAAGACCATTCTATATAACATTTAAAATGCTTCATCAAAAATGCATCTGAAGATTGCTGGAATGACTGAAATACAAGATTAATGGAGAGGGAAGCTGTGATTTCATAGAACTCAAAATGATAAAAGGGCCATCTTGTCCGTATGCTCCTTTGTGCACATATAGTATGGCATCTCAGACCTCTGTGTACTAGTAGGCACTGCTCAGAAAGTGATTCTCCAAACAAGCATCTCTAGTCAAACGAATCCAGCTATATGTAAGCACAGTTAGAGGAAATATAGGTTACTAATAGTTTTATTTCCCTTTCTCAGGAACTAGAAGCTGTAAGGGATGCCTTGACTCCTTCTTTGGCATGTGTAGCTGCGAAAAATGGTGACTTAAATGCCCTAAAAGCCTTACAGGACATGGTAACTACCTCTTATTTCGTTTCTTTTATATGACTGTTTTGGAGCGTGAAACAATTTTCACCCACCAGTGTCATCTCAACTGCATTTTCTCAAGAGGTTATTTTATGCCCTCCAGAATCTGGCTCTAGAAGGAAAGTGAAAATCCAGACAAGCTAGATTATCTATAACCAATTTCAGGAAGCCTTGTATATTTACTAGAAAGAATCCCAAAGCTACAACTGATTAAAACTGGAAACGGTTTAGGATAACTGCTACCCTTTTATATTTTCAAATAGATAGCAGCAAACTTTCTCCTTTGCTCCTTACAGTCTAATTAAAATTCCATTAACTCTTAGTACGTCCTTCAAGTAATCTTAATATTTCACAACTGCAGACGGAGGACGTCTTATCTTATTCTACATCCCACGTTTTTGCTTAATATGCAGTTATTCTGAAAAATTCAAAAGTGAGTTTGCCTCTTTGTTATATTTTAGTTTGCCCCAATTGTTAATACTATATTATTACTTCTGAATTTTAGCAAAGTCATCAGATTGTTATGTGAAATTGCATTATTGGATAAAGGGCTTATATTAATGAATGTACAAAGAGGGAGAGCAGGATTCATTTATTAATATAATAATGTCTGAAAAGAGCTCCTCCATGTACAACTGGCAACATCTAGGTCTTTCTCCATGTGAAAAGGGGCTCCTGAAAATCAGAGGATGTGCAAAAAACCCCTAATCTATTTGCATCTTTAAATATGTATAGTTGGAGACTTTAGTCAAACTATATTTTTATATTCCTCAAGGGTTCTGGACTGATATACAGAAAGTAGTTTTAAGTTAGTCTTCTCCATTGGTCATGATGAATGAATGAAATAATACTAAATTAATGAATAAAACAGGGGAGGAAACATTCCTTGTTTGTGATAAGCCCAATTCCTGATATGGATATTATATGGATAAAATTATATGAATATTTGTGAGATATTTGAAGAAGAATTTAAAAAACATATACAATTTAAAGACATACACAATTTTATATACATTTTAAACAACTTTATCATAGGGTGGAAACTTGAGCTCTGGTGATTATGATGGTCGTACTCCACTTCATGTTGCGTCCTGTGAAGGCAATTTGAAGATAGTCAGGCATCTATTGAAGTCTGGTGCAACTGTATATGCAAAAGACCGATTAGGAGCTACTCCACTGATGAATGCTATTAAGTTCAGGTATCTTATTAAAATTCACTTTAGGTCAAGCTCCTTGGAAGAGTAAGACTTGAGCAGCTGAACTGAAGCCCAGTTTTATTTTGATATATTAGTTTTGGGACATAGGGTACCATGTGTTGAAAGACAGTTCTTGCCCATGGTTTATTCTTTTACAAACCTGTCTTTTGCAAATAAACTTTCATGGCTGGAAATGAAAGGGATGTTTTTGATCATGTGCTGTATCCCAAGCAATAAAGAGAGGAAGCTTCCTGATAGGATAGGATAGTAAAAGAACAGGAAGTATAAAACACTGATGGTTCCTGTTCACTCTTCAGTCTTGTTACGTACAGTATGTATTGTTATTACAGTATAGGAATACAATGAGTATGGAGACTGAATATGGTTATTATTAGTTTCTCAGTTGTGAAAAAAATGTTTAGAGTCTATTGGGAAGATGTTTTGGCAGATGCAGTGGTGTGCGGAATTTCACTGATCAGGGTCATACAGAGTAGGTGTTCAACACTTTGAAATCAATGCCAAAAAGGTGTTTTGGAGTGTGCAGGCACATGAAAATAGCATCTATGTGCAGTTCTTTAAAGCAGCAGTGTCTTTCCCTGGAATGGCTATCAGCTGCAACTATCACTTGACAGGCGCTACATTTCTGTCCTTCTGTGTTCCAAAACACCTTTTTGGAATCAAATCCAAAATTGTGCATGGAATATGTAGAATTCCGGTTAAAGAAACCATTATGTTTCAGGACCTCACGGGTATGAAAACATGTAGAAATGTTTGTTAACTCAAAATCAGGAAGGACCTTTTTTTTTTAGCCTTTTAATGAATTTTAGCACTCTGTATATGTTCTGCTTCTCTCTCTGTACACTACAATCTGTTTTTTTTTTGTTTTTTTTTAGTTCTGCAATTGGCTTAACTGCTTATATCATTGTCTCTCTCCTAGTAATTGAACAGGAAAGTCCAGTTTTTGCAATCATATGTCTTTCTATATAAACCATCTATTAAAATGAAGTATTTGTATGCAGAGCATGCCTGCTCCACATCTATGGATAGAGTTTGACAGCAGTGGTTTTCTATGTCGCTTATAACAGCTTTCCCCATGGCTCATCCCTCTACAACAATCACTAGGTAATTGAACAGGAAAGTCCAGTTTTTGCAATCATATGTCTTTCTATATAAACCATCTATTAAAATGAAGTATTTGTATGCAGAGCATGCCTGCTCCACATCTATGGATAGAGTTTGACGCAATAGATCTAAATACTTGCTTATAACAGCTTTCCCCATGGCTCATCCCTCTACAACAATCACTAGTAAAGCTTTCTCTTTAAGAATTCATTTAAATTCCTGCCTTAGTATAACTTTCTGATGGGTTCCAGAACTGTTGGAGGACAATTTCCATCATCTCCAGTCAACAAGACTAAAAACTGTGGTCAGTTCTTCACACTCTTGGGTTAGTATTTTACTAAGACGTTTGGCATCTGTTCCAAATGATCTGTGACAATATGATGGCTGGCCAGGTCGTGCAAATACCAGAACACAGGAGAGGAATTTCTTAAGAGTCTCTAGTGCAAGTTAAATACACTTACAGTTGAACAGAGGTGGCACTTGCTCAGCACGCCTATGCAAGATGTTCCCATAAACAGCAATGTGTCTCTGTATGTGTGTTTTAACCACACCCAGGGCTGCCTGAGGAATTTCACATGAGTTTGTTATTCAGATTCTTTTGCTTTACCACTCCCATAAGAAAGGGAGCTTGATCTTTTGAAAGCTGCCAAAAGAGGGACTGGAAGAACAGAATGAAGTTTGGGTTCAAGTATATTTTCTTGTCAGACTAGAAGGGACTTACTAGTAATCATTTTGTAGAGTCTGGAATGATCGCTTTAGGCTCCCTGTGCTGGAAGACTTCACAGCAAATCTTAAAATGGAAGAGGATGATTTAAATCTGATAGAATTAGATATTATTACTGCTAGTGGAACAAAATTAATATACAGGGGTAGGTTTTTGCTTTCATTCAACAGGAGTGTTCTGATAGTCTTAAGATTTGAGGTGAGAGAAAATTACATGCATACTAATACACAGGCCTGCAACTGTGCCTTTTTTTTTAATCTGCGCCCAGTCGTTACCGACTCTGCAGTGACTGCTTGGACGAGTC